TGTTCAATTTCAGTCGTGCATGTGTGGGTTGATTTCAGTCGTGCATCTGTGGGTCGATTTCATTCTTCTAAGTCATCAAGAATCGTGATTGAGTTCAAAGGTTAGTTTTTTCTTGATTTTATTTTGTTTTTTGTTATTGTTATACTTAGATTTCGTAGGGTTCATGATATGTTGTTAAATATTGGTTTCGATCTTTGAGTGAAATGTAACTTCATGCTTATTTTTTAGGGTTTATGTTATGGTACTGTTAGATATCAAACTTCGTATGTAACTTGTTATACATATATTCATATTGTCACATATGTTGTTATGGTATATTCTAAAGTATTTTTCAGTGTGGGTTGGTTGGGTGGTATTATATATGTGTGAGTTCTGTTCTCCTTTTAAACATACAAGAAGACAAAGATGAGTTGGGTGTTGTGTTGTGTGGTATTGTATTGTGGGGTTACAGTAAAATAACTTCATGTTGGGTCTTGTGTTGTGTCTGTATGGGGTTACAGATAAATAACCTTATCCTAAGAAGAAAAATATATGTTGGGTGTTGTGTTGTGTCTGTGTGGGGGTTACAGACCTAATTCTAAGAAGACAAAGATATGTCGAGTATTGTGTTGTGTCTGTGGGGTATGTGTGTTCTGTATGTGTAGGGTTATAGTTACATTAAAAAAATCCAATAATTACTGGCTTTAACTTGAATTGTTTTTATATTTGTTTGGGTGTGTGTGTGTGTTTCTTTAATCAATTATTGTAGTTTATTAGTAACTTGTACTTAATTATTGTTAATGTTTATGCATATAGGTATGAGTTGATTTACGTTCATTACTTTAAAGTTGTATCATGGTGGGGCCTTATTGTTTGAAGGTGAGGAAGCAAGTTATGTGGGTGGGTTAGTGAGTGAATATGTTGATGTTGATGTGGATACAATATCATATTTTGAGATTAAAGACTACATTAAAGAACTAAGGTATAGCCCAAATTGCAAATTTAGTATCTGGCCACCTAACAGTTGCATCTTAGGAAATATTGACAATGATGATATTCTCTTAGCAATGTGTAATTGTTTGCAAAATGGGGCTGTTTTGGAAGTATATGTCCACATGCCTGAAGAGGAATCTGGTGCAACTTTTAATAAAGTTGGGACCACTGAAAATAGGGCTAGTCAAAACATTGAATATAATGAAGTAGGCGAGGTTGCTTTTAATGGGGTAGATGTATCTCTAAATACTACCTCAAATATTCCTTCTACATCAAACCCAACAGCTCCAAATACTGATCCATCAAATTCTGAAGATAGTGAATACTCTGTAAAGGGATCTGATGAGTCAACTGAAGAGAGTGATGATTCTGAAGATAGTGAACTACTTGAAGATGATCAATATGGAAGTGATGTTCATGAGGAGCTGATTCAACCGAGGGCTGAGAAAAGATCCTTTCTGAAGAGGAGGAAAAGAAGGGAGAGAATTCCTGCAGATACTGAAGAAGTACCATATGGTAATACTGGAGCAGATCTTGGGTTTGATGAGACTGCTATCAATACAAATACTTTAGAAGGAAGGCTAGGGGGTGATAAACCATATTATGCAAGTTCTGATGCTTGTGTTTTGAAACAGACACAGCTGATAATTGTCTTGAAAAAGGTGAAAAAATGAGGTTGAAACTGCCTAACACAAAAAGGAAAAAACATACCACAGACAGTGTTAGATTTGATCCCAACAGTAAGAAGATTGTGTGGCAATTGGGTATGGTTTTTGAAAGTGTAAAAGAGTTTAGATTGGTAGTCACTAAGTATGCAATTCAGAGAAGGGTTCAGATTAAAAAGTGTGTGAATGAGCCAACTAGAGTAAGGGTGAGATGTTGCAAGGTAAATTGCAAATGGTTGTTATATGCAAGTTTGGACAGGAAGACTAATAACTTTGTTATTAAGACTTACATGCCAATACATTTATGTCAAAAGGCTTCTAGAAATTACTTGTGCAACTCTAAATTCATTGCTAGTGTTTTTAAAGATAAAGTGATTGAACAACCAAATATCAGAGTGTTCAAGTTGCAAGAGCTAATCAGGAAGAAGTATAATGTGCATGTTGGTAAGACCACAGCTAGAAGAGCAAGAGCTAAAATTTTGAATGAAATTATGGGTGATCATGTTAAGGAGTTTGGGAGAATTCTTGATTATAAGGATGAGTTGTTAAGGTCTAATCCTGGGAGTACTTGTGTGGTGAAGCTTGGTGAAGCTAATGAATCTGGTAGGGTAGTATTTAAGGCATTTTACATCTGTTTTGCTGCACTCAAGATGACATTCATGTCAATTAGAAAATGCATTGGTTTGGATGATTGTTTCTTGAAGGGGGTATGCAGGGGTCAATTACTTATTTCAGTGGCCAAATATGACAATAATCAAATTCTTCCACTTGCTTGGGCTGTAGTTGAAAATGAGAACACAAACAGTTGGAGTTGGTTTATTTCTCTGTTGCAAGAAGACTTGGGATTACGAGATGGAACAAGTTTCACCATTATGTCAGACATGCAAAAGGTAAACTTGTTTTATTTCTCTGTTGGTTTACTATTTTTTCAACTTAATTATTTAATGTTTGTTGTAACTTGTAGGAACTAGATATAGCTATTAAGGAGTTGTTGGGCAGCTTGTGAGGAAAGAAGGTGTGCTAGGCATATACTAGCAAATTGGTCAAAGAATTGGAAAGAGCTGCAAAGGAAGAAACTGTTCTGGAAGTGTGCTAGAAGTACTTTTGAAGCTGAATTCAAAGAAAATCTAGAAGAGCTGTCTAAACTAGGTACGAGTAACGTGGATGATCTAATTTACTATGATAAAGAATATTGGTGCAAAGTGTCTTTTAATTGTGAAGTCAAGTCTGATGCAATAGATAATAATATGTGTGAGAGCTTTAATGCTTGGATTTTGTCTGCAAGGCATAAAACCATTATTAGTATGCTTGAAGAGATAAGGACTAAGGTCATGACTAGGTTAGCTAGGTTAAGTGAATTTCCAAACTCTTGGATAACCAACTTCTCTCCAATGGCAATGAAAGTATTAGAAGAAAATATTGATAAGTCAATGGCATGTAACATTGAGTTTAATGGAGTAACTAGATATGAGGTTTTAGATGGATACAAACAACACACTATATGTTTGAGAAAAAGGGAGTGTAGTTGTAGATCTTGGATGTTAAAGGGAATACCATGTGCACATGCCTTAGCTGCAATGTTGCATAGACAATATGATCCACATGACTTCATTCATCCATGCTACTCTAAAGAGAGGTACTTGATGACTTACTCACATTTCATACAACCTATGAATAACATGCTAATGTGGCCAGAATCAAGAAATCCTCTTGTTGCTCCACCAATGATTAAAAAAATGCAAGGAAGGCCTAGAAAGCTGAGAAGGAAAGAGGCTGGTGAAACTAAGGTGTCTGGTAAACTGTCTAAAACTGGACTAACTATGACATGCAGTCTTTGCCATGTTAAAGGGCACAACAAAAGAAGTTGTCATTTACGAAGGAGTGATGGAGTTGGTTCTATTGTCGGGGAACATAGAGCTACCCCTACTTCAAATGTTGAAGAACCATCAAGCTCAAGAAAGGGAAGGGGAAGGGGAAGACCAAAGGTACATTACTATTTTGTCACTTACTTTAAAGTTTAATCAACTTACTAATATAATAAAATGTGTTTTTGCAAATTAGAAATCAACAAATATTGAGAGTGAGAGTGCAAGTGCAAGTACAAGTGCATGTGCACTGCAAGTGCAAGTGCATCAAATGTTGTACCTAGAACCATTGCACCTCCAACAACTTCAAGAACACCAAGACATGAAACAAGTGAAAGTGCATCAAGGGATGCACTTGGAACCACTGCACCTCCAACAACTTCAAGAACACCAACACATGAAGCAAGTGCAAGTGTAAGTGGTGCTAGAGTATCATCAAGAGCCTGGAGTGGTAGAGGAAGGGGTAGGGGACTGGGAAATGCAGCAAGAGGTATTAATCATCCACTTGAAAGTTGGTTTACATGTTCTCAAGGTAGTACAACACAGGGTGTAGACCAGAATACAAATGTTGCACCAAAGGAAACTGTTACTGCCAGGAAAGGAAAGGGTGTTGAAAACACAACTCAATTTAAAAGGCCAAGAGTAACTGGAATGGGTGTGTTTCAAGCTGAAAATGGTTTCAAAACTTTCAATGCAAGTATTGTGATGCATTCATATTGTTTGTACCCTAATGACTTGATAACATCTGTTCTCTAATAACCTTACTTCTCTAAAAAAATTATAGCCTGGACTGCCAAGTAGCAGAATATTAGCTGGACCAAAAAGAGTTTTGAGATCAAATGTTGTAACTGGGGATGTTGGTTTCAAACCAACAAGTGGATTGAAGTGGAAAGGAAATCAAGCAATCACAACTAGAAGGCTCCAGCAGATTAGAGATCAATCAAGGCTTTCAAACCCAAATGCTTCCTCCTCTTCACATCCTTGAGACCCATGGAAACTATAATGTTGATATCAATGGTGTTTTCTTAGTACTGTTTTGGTGGCCACTATAAGTACTATTTTGTTTCATGTTTGAAGGAAAAACAACTATTTCCTATTTTTTGTTATATGTATGTATGAAATAGTACTAAAATTATGGGTACTTATGCAATGTGAAAACTTTAATTTCTTTTAAGTTCACTTTTAGAATCAACTTTGTACTGAAAATTTGCTCTTAAGTAATGAAATTCTAGGCACTTATGCAATGTGACTTGTATTATTTATGTGAAGCTTTGTTTTTTATTTTGTCAAGAATAGGTACTGCAATTTTGGGTACTTATGCAATGTGTTTTGTGTTATTTTTGTGTAGCTTTGTTGGGAGAATAGGTACTGTGATTAATACCTCTTGATTTACTTCATTTTACAATTTCAAACACAAACAAATCATGGCAAATAGAGAATTAAGACAATTTCAAACACAAACAAATTCAAATTTTCATTATGGTAGAACAAATAAAGGTTTCAATACCACAAAAAATTATGGCAATTTTATTTGATCCTTCAACCTACCAACTTGGGTTAGAAAGCTAACAAATGTAACAACAAAACAAATCATCAAACAACAAAGGAATTTTCCAAAACAACGACAGCCTTCATCATTTTTCTTCATTTTCATCCCTTTCATCTTCTTCTCTTTCAAATCATCCATTTCTTTTACATCACGACCCTTCTCCTTTGATTGATGTTGAGATTTTCATAACGATTTTGAAGACTTTCACCTTTATCCAAAGGAATTTTTTCTTGTTTTGACTGTTCAATGTTGGAATTATCAAGCTGTTCCAATTGCATATTCACACGCTCATATTTTTCTTCTAACTCCTTAATCCTATTCACCAATTTCGTTAGAATAAATCGAGATCTTTCATTGACTCTCTCCTTGTCTCTCCATCTAAAAAAATTACAGTTTGTGGCCTCATAAGTGAAGACAAGACCAAAATCATCTTCCGAGATTGCGATCTGACCAAGACGTCTGCAGTTGCAATAAGATTCCATGCTTGCATCGCACTTCCGCATTGATCATTGAATCATTCTCATCCATACACAACTTATTCAACTCGGATTTTGTCATAACCCTAACATTTATACATAAAAATTGTGAAAGAAATTTAAAATTAGAACTAACAATCGACATAAAAAGGTGTAAATATAAAGAATATATTAAAATTTAACTTTACCTTTTCGAAGAAAGGAGCAATTTAACTTGAATGATAATTATAATAGAGGTTTTTTTTTTTCTAAAGATGAAGAACAATAAAGAAGAAGACAACTTAGTTAAAGATGAAGAACAATAAAGAACAATAAAGTTTATTTTAACATGTGACCAATTTTTATTGGTCAGTGTTGTCTAAAAACTGCACCCACGCGCCTAACATAGGTGAAGTCACGGACTTAGCCACGTAGGCCAAAAAATGGTAAAAAATTAATAAAAAAATAAGTTCGGGTAATAGGACCTTAGTAAAGGTTAGGTGTGTCTCAGGGATTTTGGGCATAGGCTGGGGGAGTACTTATGCATTTTTCCTTTGTATAAAGCGAGAGAAAATTGTATATACAAATGCATATATTTTCGTCCTATACACTTATGATTATACAAATACGATCTTCCCTTGCCTAGTTTTCCTTTGTCTTTCTCTCTTTCTCGCTTTATACAAAACACATATTATACAATTGATCTTTTGTATATGTATACCGAAACAGAAACATATTATACAACTGCTTTCTTTTGTATATGTATAGCGAAATATACATATTTATCTTTGCTATGGAATGCAATTATGCAAACTATAGCTATAACATATAAATATGATTTTTATGTTTGCTATATGTGAAAGTTGCACATTAAAATATGAGTGATCCAAGTCATTAAATATGAGCAAAATAGACTCATGTCATTAATATGAACTGAAATTGCCACCCCTATACATATTACAAGTTAAGAAAAGATAAGTTTATTAGGTTCTTCTCTTCTATTTTTTCTGTTTTTCTTTCTACTGAGTTTGTTTAATGTTCACCTCTTGCGTTCCTTAATTATTATTTTTTAAAAACAAAATTGATGGGCTGCCCCACCTAAAAATAAAATACGAAAAATCAAAACAAAAGCACAAAAACCAAAATGAAAAGGGAAGACCAAAATAGAAAAAGGAAATTTGACGCCTGAGCTATTGTAGCTCCCCGTCAGCAAATTTGGGGCGACAACAAGGTAGTGCCTGTAGTATCTCTTCAAATTTTTGATCTAATCGCCATCAATTTTTAGCTCAAACTCATATCTAAGCTTTACCAAATTCAAGATTTAAATCTGGTTTCCTGGGGTGATTCCAAAGTTAGCGGTCTCTAAGCTCTCACCAGACGCTACAGAATCAACACCCAAGTTGAAGAAACTTAAACCAGTTCGTTTGAATGTTTGGTGTTCGCTAATTCTGACTCTTTGACTATAAACTTACATACCATCAGATGTAACACTAATTTAACTTGCAATCCATCATAATAAATACCTTACAATGGGCTGAGCTTCATAAGAAACTGATACTACCATTAATAATTTATTTATTTTTAGTTCAGATCACAAATTAGTCTAGGTAAACTCTTAGTACAAGTTGTTGTTGGATCTTTTTGTTTGCTGAAACATGTTGGTATTGCATCTTTTGAAATAAGTGAATGGGGTTTTCTTGATTTGGTTTTAGACCTACAGACCTACCCCTTAATTATATGATCTTTAATCTTCAATCTGGTTCTCTATTTCTGTATGAGCTGAATCTTAGTTGTGGTAGTTGTTGTTTATCAATGTTGAGAAGTTTCCTTGCCTCTGATGGTAATGATTGAAAATTCTGATATTGAACTGTTTCTGTACCTGCAAAATTAAAAACTTTATTAGCTAAAAAATCTGCTAGTGCATTGCCTTCCCTAAGAATGTGAGAAAAATGCACTAGCCCCTTTTTCCTCCAGAAATTGATACTAGTAATCTCCATCCTGATCTCCCAAGGGGCTTCCCATTTTCCTTCTGTCATATTGATTATGGCCAAAGAATCTGATTCTATCAAGATCGATACTCTCTGCTGTTCAATACAGTGTTGAATACCTCCTTGAATGGCTCTTGCCTCTGCATGGATGCTATTTGTGATCCAAAGTCTTTTAGCTTCAACATATACTAAATTACCATCAACATCCCTAATACAAAAGGCTGCAGATCTCTCACCGGGATTGCCTCTACAAGCCCCATCTATGTTACATTTTAACCATCCTATTTCAGGTTTTCTCCAAATCACCACCTGTGATTTTATTAGGGGTCTGTATTGTTCAAAGTACTGAACCAGTTGAGGCCACTGGTTAGGAATGACATTTATCCAAGGGTACTTTAGTTTCACTAGTTTGACTAGGTTACTATTAATCTCTTGAATCACCTTCCACTTCGTCATATTCCCCATGCTCTATAGTATTCCTTCTTTTCCACAATTGCCAACAAATAAAAGCAGGGCCAACTTGAAGAATAGGGGTAAGTTTTGCACAATGCCTTATGTCCCACCACTTCTTTATTGCTTGATGAACCTGAATGAAAGGACCTTGTAGCCCTATAGCATTTGCATAATATTTCCAAATTGATCTTGCAAATTCTCCATTGATAAAGAGATGAACCATTGTTTCCTCTTGAGCTTTTTCACAATATCTACACCTAGAAACCAGGTTTATCTTCAACGTCTTTAACACTTCATCCACGGGAATTTTGTATTTCCACAACCTCCACAACAAGAAACAAATTTTATAAGGGATCCCTATACTCCAAATAGAAACATATTCTTCCTTCTCATGACCTTTCTGTCTGATCTCTTCCCAAGCACTGCCCACTGAAAACTTTCTAGAACTAGTTTTCATCTACCAAGGATGATTAGAAAGCTCAGGAAGATATTCATATTGAAGTTTCTTTTGAGCTTGTTTAGCAACTAATTTAGGAAGGTATTGGTGAACCTTTTCTCTATTCCATCCACTTGAATCCGTGAAAAAAATTCAACTCTTCAATATTAGGAGCTCTTATAAAATCTGGATGAGTTGATTTTATATCTCCCAAACTAGTCCAGTTATCCTCCCAAGTGTCAGAAGTACCACTTATTGGCTCCCACCAGATATTCCCATCTATTTCATCTCTCGCCTCAATCATTTTCTTCCATATTTGAGATCCATTTTTCCACAACACATCTGTTGGTTTAAATTTCTTACAATATTATTCCACATTAAATTTGACCATAAAGAAGAGATAATTTTGAACCTCCACCAGAGTTTAGCAAATAGTGCTTTAGAAATATCATGAAGAAATCTAAAGCCTAATCCACCCTCTTCTTTTTGGTAGGCACAACTTTGACGAAGATACCCAATGCCTACTTCTACCTTCTTCCTTTGTGCTCCAAAAATATCTAGCAAAGATCTTGTCGATCTCATTAATAGTGTACTTAGTAGGGACAACTACAAATAGCAAGTATATAGGAGTACTTTGAAGCACACTTTCAATAAGCACAACACCTACAAAAGATAAAAGTTTTCCTCTCCAATTTTGCAATTTGTCCTTAACTTTCTTTATCATATTATTGTAATAGTCCTTTCTTTTCCTATTGTGAAAGACTGGACAACCCAAATATTGAAAGGAAAGTTTCCCTTGGAGAAACCAATAATCTGCTCAACTTTCTCCACCAGTCTAGCCTCCACTTTATGAAACATATAAAAGCAACTTTTTTCCTTATTAATCAGTTGCCGTGAGAATGTTTCATAATCTTTAATAACCCTCATTATTTGCTTTAGAGACCCTTCCTCTGCAGATGAGAAAATGATAGTGTCATCTGCATACGCTATATGGTTGATGTTCTGACTCCACGTAGGCATTCCTTAACCCACAAAGTTATGATTTTCAAATAGTGAATTTAGAGCTCTAGATAATATTTCTGCAGATGGTATAAACAAAGCAGGGGATAGAGGATCCCCTTGTTTTACCCCTCTAGTAGAGTGAAAAAAAGCCTTTTGGTTGTCCATTAAATAAAATGGAGTACCAGTTATTAGCAATCAACCTCCATACCATGTCAATGAACTGATTTGAGAAACCCATATTTGACAAAACTTTGACGAGGTAGATCCATGAGACCCTATCATAAGCCTTAGCCATGTCAAGCTTTATAATAACATTGGTTGGTTTTCCTCTCTTCCTAATATCCGTAACAATCTCTTGAGTTAATAATACATTTTCAATAATGCTTCTACCCATCAAAAATCTAGACTGATTAGGAAAAATCAGTTTTGATAGTACTTTCTCCATTCTACCATGAATGACTTTGGAAAACACCTTATTGATAAAGTTACTAAGACTTATAGGTCTTAAGTCTGAGTAGCTTTGAATAAGATTTTTTTTTTGGTAACAACGCCAGGTTGGTGTGAGTAATTGATTTTGATAAGGTCTTTTTTTGGTAACAACACCAGCTTGGTGTGAGTAATAGATTTTGACAAGATTGAATTTTTTCACTATCCAAGCTATCAAAATACTCTTTCGGTACAAAATTCTTCCACATAAACTTTCATAATTTTACTAAATTCAAACTCTTTAAGAGCTGATTTTCCCCAATATATGATCTCCCGAACTGTTTTTTCTTTAATATGAGTGGAGCTAAATATAATTACAAGGACAAATACTCATCAAATTAAATTTAAAAAAAGAATTAAACTTAGAGAGATTAGACGGGACAATAGTGACATAAACCAAGAATTTTAGCGATGAAATTTAAGCAAAGATTGAAAGAAAAACTAACTAAAATTGAAACACCCAAAAGAGTAGATGAAGAGAACTAAAAGAGTAGTCTTTCAGAGTTTCAAAGCAGAGATTAAAAACCAAAAAAAGCAACAAAAAGGAAGTAAATGAACGTTGTGAAAAATTTGTGGTCAAAACTTACCTGAGATTGCAAAACCCATGTTGAGAGAGAGTTCGTAGAATGAGAGAAGTCAAAAGAACCCAACCTTGAAAATTTGGAAGAGAGTGTGTTTCTATTATACTTGTGAGAGAGATGGTAGATTTTTCCAGATTTCGTTCCCTTTAATTTTTTTTCAGATTTTTCCATATTCCAGATTTTACTTACTTTTACAATTGAGTGAAATTACTTGACTACCCTTGGTCATCCATGGTTTGGCATTTCTATATAGTAGAAAAAGAAAAAAATATATATATTCCTCCTTTATATTTTATTTACTACTACATCTTCTTCAAATCCAAAAAAAGCACGAAAAAAAATCTAATCTTTTTCAAGTCGTTAGTCTTCTTTCTATTTAAAAAACAAAACCCAAGAAGAATTTGAAGGTAAAGTTTTGATCTGTCATTCTTTACATCAATGGCTCCGATACCATTGTAATATATATAGAGCAAAATCGGAGAGTTGAGTACCTTGTATTTGCAGCGGAAGTCTTTGATTTTTCTACTTTCACATGATTGCTCCAAAGTCTCTCTTTGAATCACTAGAAAACAAAGTTTGATTCACAAACTAAATGTATATTTGTGTTTCACACCTTCGTTGATCTTCAGACAAAAAAAAGTTCTTCAAGTCATTTTCTTTCGGTTTTTTGTTCTCTTTTTTTTTTTATTGTTCATGTTATCACTTTTTCTATAAAGGAATAAATTCTTTTATCAAGAGGGGTTGATAAGTTTTTCAGTTTCATTACTATTCCTTTTTTTAATTTTAAAAGAGATAATTAATTCTCATCTCTTCTCAGACAACTTCTTGGATCGGATCGGTCCACATGGACGATCTAAAACTTACAGTAAAACTTCTTGAAAATCTTTAATTTTTAATTCATCAATTTCATAATTAATAGGGGTAAAATAGTAAACTTACTATGTACATCATTATTTTCTTAATAGGCATGTCGATTCAAAAGTGAATAAGTAATTAAAAACAGAGGGAGTACTTGTTACAGAGTGCCAAGTGCTGTCTAGTAGCCACCATGTGATTTTTATTTGGGATGCTTCATGGTTAGTAATCATAAGGCGTTTGTAGATATATAAGTTTTTTTATTAAATCTAAGATTTTACACCAATTCAATACTTAAATAATTTTTTTAGATTAAAATTAGATATTTTTATTTTATTTTAATAAGTTTATTTAAAAAATTTAAAAATTATAAAAAATAAAATCATATTCATAAAAAAAAAAAAAGTGTGATAGCGTTTAGTGGAAAAGAGGCATGAACTAGTACAAGTTGGTAAAATATGATATTGATAAATGTTCTAGCAATTGGCTGAGAAATAATTAAATAAGTCCTGAATTAGTAACGATGACATAATGAACATGATTGAACATTATCCTCATGAAAGAAAGACAATACGTGTAAACTACACCCTACTATATAGATCACAAGTGATGAGAAAAATAATTCATGTGGACACATAATATATATGCCAATAAATTGACAACTTAGCAAGTCTATTGTTTTAAAAAAGAAAAAGGTAGCATATCAACATGGGTTGACGTGGTGCACTGATGGGAGTGCTTCACCCTTAACCAGAGGTCTCGGGTTCGAGCCCTGGATATGGAAAAATTCTTGTTGGGAGCGCCACCCTTAAATGGGCCTTGCAGAGCGCAATCCAAAGTTAGTCGGAGCTCCAATGTGAACTCCGGACACCGAGTGGGAAAAAAGAAAAAAGAAAAAAAAAAAAAAAAAAAGGTAATCTAAAATCTGTGATCCCAATTTTGTATTAAGATATTTAAATGAAACGTGAGGAGGACAAGGAAGCAATTGGGTGGCTGCTATAGATGGATATGGATGACAATGATATACATACCTTCACCTAATTATTATAGCCTCTAACGGCTTCCTTTCCAAACCCATGTGCTCCACAGCTCAAATTTGCGTAACAAGGTTATGGTGAATTGATAAGTACGCATTCATCTTTAATCAGATATTTTGAGTTTGAGTACCCTTAGGTATGAAATCGTTATTGTTAGGAAACAGTTTACCTCTCAAATGGGACTTTTCGGTGCTCAAATTCAAATTTAGTCCAACTCTAATATAAATACTAAATGGTGAGTGAGAATTATTTTTTTTTGCGTAAGGACAATCCAAAGAAACCAAAAATAAAAAAATTGCACAAGGATAATCCAAAATTTACTAGCACACTGACAAAACCTCTTAGTTGAGAGGAAAGTTTGGTAGAGTGCATTAAAAAATAATAATATATATATTAACTTTATTTATTATTAATATTTTATTTGATACATATTTTCAATCAACAATATTAATACACCATGTTCATCACTATTTTTATACACCCTATGAAACCACCCTTTAATTTGCAAATAACAAAGTAAAAATCAATTAACTAATACAAGTGTGCTAATTGATAAAGTCCTCTGTCTCTCTCCTCTTTTATCCACACTTGTGATTGCATATACTTTTATGCAAGTGTGATAAGAGAAGTTGAAGGTAGAAAGTGAGACAAAAAGAGAAAAATAAAATAAGACCAAAAAGGAAATTGTCCATAATTACTTTTATAGAGTTGTGCTCTCTGTTTGGTGCTCAAGAATCAAGAAAGATCCTAACTTTAGAAGAGAATGTCAACAATGGCTAGTGGTTACCTCACAAATTCTTTCTCTAAAATGGCAAATCTCACCAAACATGAGAGTGTTTCTGCTTCCTGGATAATGTCAGTAAGCTCATCTATGATTGGGTATCTATATATAGTAAAGATCAACATGTGTGTTATTACTTCATTGCAGGTCACTGAATCCCAATTCCTCAAGCACGGGGAAGAAACAAGTATTTAGAGAATTGCGATATCCCATTCCACAATCTGAGACTGAATCAACATACACATCGAATCTCCATTCTGATCGATTGCAGCTGTCGGATGAACAAGTGTTGGATCAGGAAAATCGACTTCAGTTTGGTCAGTTCATGGCACATGAAGCAGTGCTTGATGAAGAATATTGGGTTAGTATCATTCTTCATAATTTAAGATCCAATAGGTTGTGTTTTCTGTATGTTTAGCTTCAATAATTGACAGACAGCAGCATGGCTGCGAGCTGAATCTCACTGGGAAGATCGCCAGAATGATCGGTATGTACCCTGTTTTCTCATTTCTTCACTTGAAAAGTATGCTTATAAATGAATCAATCAACTCGCCTCTGATCACCCCTAAACTAGTCGGGATTGGCTATATGAATTCTTTATATCCTACCTTAATTAATAAGATCCATCATGTTATGACTATTCTTGTGCGATAATGGTATTATTATTATGCCATTACCATTTTTAGTGGATAATATCCATATTTGATCCATTTTGAGAAAACATTGGTTATCCAACCCATATCTAATGGGTCGGATTGGATGGTTACTCGTTTTCTTTAACCGTTTTCTTTGATAATTCAGATACATCAATAACTATAAAAGGAAATATGCAGAGCAGGTACTCAACTGGTTAATTTACAAGTGTTACATGAAAAACGTATGCGCAGTGCATAATATCTCATAGTTCCACTATACAGGAGTTTAATGCCTTGAAAAGAAGATGCAAAGCACTAATTGGGCAGAGATGCACCTGCATTGTTGCGGTATAAATCTGTTAACAGAAATTTACCTTCACGTAATACTCCCTCTGTTTCACAAAGAATGGTCTAGTTTGACTTGACACGGAGTTTAAAAAAATAAAGAAGATTTTTTGAATCTTGTGGTCTTAAATTAAAGTTATGTCAAATGTATAAAATTGTCCTTTACTCTTGTGGTCTTAAACATGCCACATGGAAAACTGAAATTATAATGTTACCAAAAAAAGAAAGAGGTCATTTTTTTTTAAACAGACTAAAAAGGAAATGAGGTCATTTTTTTAAAAACAGAGGGAGTATTATTTTTCTTCAACTCTTGCAAGACAATTAGCTTCAAACTTGTTTTAGTTCATTAAGAAAAAATCATCATATCTGATATGTACTGTTGACATCAACAGGTGCGGGCAGAAGATAAAATTATCAGACATACAGTACTTAAGAGTGTCGTTGGGACACTAGATTTGATCATCAGACACTTGTCACATGGAGAGGCTTTTCCTGGGGTATTTTGGTGTAAATAAATCTGACAAATAAGTAATAATTTCCCGCAAAAATTTGAAATGTCTTCAATTCCACAGGGAAGGGTGAATTCCCCTGATTTGAGCAACATTGAGAGAAGATCCTCCAATAGATATGGTTATATTGCAAATTTATGTGTTTCCAAATCTTCTCGAAGGCAAGGTGTTGCAAGAAACATGTTGCATTTTGCTATTAGATTGGCGAAAGAAAATGGTAAGCAATTAGGATGCAACAGTTGTAGAATCAATGATCAATCACCAAAAGACTAAATCTGTTGTTTGTGTGATAGGTGCAGAAAAGGTGTTCGTGCATGTACATACAAACAACGGACCTGCACAAAAGCTTTATCAAAAGGTTGGCTTTCAGGTAAAAACTAAATTTCTGTTGTAACTTAAGTCAATCTGTTTTTCTCGTAAATGAAAATTCCGTCTTTTACCAGGTGGTCGAAGTGAAAAATCATAAACTCGCTGAAGAACAACCTCACTTGCTTTTCCTCAGAGCATGAAACACATTGAATGCAAGTCAATTTTTTCTATTTTTTGGCTCATGATATATTTGGAGTATACCCTGCACATCTTATTAGCTCCCAACATGCCAATTTTTCACATGTATGCAGCCAGTAATGATCAAAACTTCAACTAAGATTAAACAAATATTTGATGTATTCCTTATGAGACATAAAATAAGAGAGGAAGAATTCATTAATAAGTTTCCAATGAAAGTATGTCTGATGAACAAGGAAAATATCCATCACGTCTTGTTCGACATTCTTTCTATTACTCTAGTCACAACAAAAACAGAAGGAGAGATTGACATCTTTATAAATGAGAAAAAATAGCGATCATCAAAAAATCAAAACAATACTTTCGAAGAACTGAACTAATTTTCCATGTGTACTGCAAACATCTTTTGCCATTGTTTAATTCAATAGGTGAAATTTTGGCACATGTTCAATCAAATACATGTATTGATAGCATAGGTTTAAGTGATCTTTTCTTCTTAAGCATTATCTCTTGCCTTTTTTTTAAAATCAAATTAAATTATTTAGTTATAAGAATAATGGTGTATATCTTGGTGCATTTTTTGTCCATTTCTGAAATTTCTTATCTAAGAAACAGTGAGTTCAGAAAAATTTAATTGGTTACATTAGAGTAAATATCTGAATTGCAGTGTTTGTAACTAGAAAAAATTTACAATGATAGAGACCCAACCAACAATAGTTGTGTGACCCTCCATTGATTAATTGACACTTGGATACTGTGTTTACTTCTTTACCTTTTTATCATCTCTCTCCTACTCAACCTTCTTTTCATTCATTTTCTTATTTTCTTACTCCTAATAAATATTTTTTAACTTCATTTTCTTAAGATGTTGATATATTGAATAAAAGAATTAATAAACATTTTTTTTTATCACAATAACTAAAAAAAATGTTTTAGGAGTGAGTATTTAAAATCCTCATATCATTCAATATTTTTAATAATATCAAATTAACTAAAAAATATTTAGTGTTTTCTCAATTTCTAGCACCTAAAAAAACAAATTAATTCAAATTTAGTTTTCCATTTTTCTTTAATTCTGTTTTAGTTCATATATTTATAATCATTGTTATTTTAATTTTGTTTTAGTTCATATATTTATAGTCATTCTCTTAATAGAGAGTATCCGTTATTTTTCTTAATTTAAGTTATAATTTTTTTAAATACTTAATAGAAATATGCTGGAAATATATATTATAACTGAATGTACGTAAAGACACGAAAAATGAATTCTAATAATATTAAGGCTAAATGATATTATTATTATTATTATAATAATAATATAATGAATAGTTAATTTAAAATTATATGGAACCGATTGATTCTTGAAAATAAATTAAGCATTGTGTCAAATTCTTTAAGCATAGGTGGTTTTTCGATTTATTTTTACTTTAATACTAAAACTGATTATATCAATTTTTTTAAAAATAAATTAAAGTAAAAGAAATATTCAATTTGACTAGATTTTTATTTAGTTCGATTTTCGATATTCAGTGAATACTTCTTAATACAAATATAAAGTGTGTGTGAATTTCTCACTCAAAATTTATCTTTAAAAGGTATCCTAGGGATTTGATTCAATTTTTTGAGATGTAAAATGAAAATTTTCAAAGATTTTTTTTCTAAGGCTACGAGGAATAATTATGTTTTAATTGAATTGGTTGAGAGGTGGCAATTTTTTAAATTGATTTAGTTGAGGGACAAAAATGATTAATGGGAAAGAAAGAGCTAATCAAGTTACTAATTAATAAAGAGAACAAAGAATTAAAAAACAAAATGTGAAAAAGAGAGGAATATTGAACAGAGAAGAGCTAAAATAATTTGGAGGGAAAAGGGGGGAATTTGGGGAAAAATAAGGTGAGAGAGTGTGTGGTGTTAAAATGGGCCCACAAATCCAAGTGTCAAAAATTGAATGGAGCCACACACAACTATTGTTGGTTGTGCCTCAACCATATTAAATTTTTTCTTTGTAACTATATGACCTCTATAGATAAGTAAATAAATGAGAAAAGACATAAAGAGACACCTGATATTGCTCCATAAACAATCTTGAACTGATATTATTACATCATTTTTTGTTCACTTGGCATAGAGATGTTATGCACTCTCTTAAAGAGCGTGAACAGCCTAAAATAACGAATATAATTTTATTTTTACAAGTATTTTGTTATAAAATATATTTTCTTGTTTTTCTTATTATTTTAACTTTTTGTCCTTATTATTTTTTCTTTTTCTTTCTCAAAAATTCATTGTCATCTCCATTGAAGCTCCTCACTTTAATTGTCACCATTTTACCACTACTCCACCTTCTTTTTTAACTACTATTAGTTTAACACTCTTCAATTTTAAAACTATATATAATTTTCTTTATACTTTGAACAATTTGATAAATCATTAGATTTCAAGATGATTAGTAGGTATCATTTAGTTTTTTAATTCAAATTTTAATCGAATTCTTTCAATTTTCGAGAAATTCATTGATTTCAAAATTATCATTTCTAATTTTGAAGTTATATGAAAAGGAGATAAATTAATTGATGATACCTTCAAAATTTTGATTTTTCTTAGAAAAATAATTAGTTTTGTTATCAATAACTTTTAAAAAATCATTGGAAAAAAGGAATTTGGCCGAAGAAGAAAAAGAAAAGAAAGAAAATGGAGGAGGGCTCAACTTGATGTGGGGGTGAGGGTGAGGATGAGAGGTGAAGAAAGAAAGAAAGAAAGATAGAAAATGGTGGGAGGTGTAGCTTGAAGATAAGTAGAATTAAGATGAAATCAAAATTAAAATAAGTCAGAGAGAGAGATTTAAATCCTTTTGATTGAACACATATTGTCAACAAACTCCTTAAAATGATTTTTCTGATAAAAATAAGGTAAAATAAGTTTCATAAGTGACATTTCAAATTCATTGTCCCTCCGCAGTCACCCAACATCCCCAATTCCCATCACTTGACTATCCCACCTTGAACCATCACTCCCCACTCCTTTCCGCCTATATAGTATTTTGCTAGCTACTTGGCGTCATACATGTTAAATCATGCCCGATGCGGTATCCTAGGTGTATTATGCAACGTAGGATTCATGTATTTATCTGTTCAACTTCATAAAAAATTATGTGTCTATTTGTGCGCACCAAAAGTTGGAGAGCATAGATGCAAACCGAGGTCAAGTTACATGACATATTTATTTATTACGCCTTTTGTTTATATTATAGTTAAAAAAAACAAATTATTTTTAATTCTTTTTTTTTTATTTTGCTATAATATGCCCCCCCAAACCCCCACTCCTATAATTTTTTTAAATATTGTTTAGTTCAAACTTTTGTGTTCACTCGCTTTTAAATATGTGTCACCACACATTTTATCCGTCTCAGCAAAATTAAATGTCACATAGGCTTAGTCAAATCACGATAAGTAGAAGGGTTTCCTCGACCATTCCGCCTTCAACAAACAATAAATAAGTATTGACCAAATATCCAAAATTCATGATTTTTTCCCCTAAAAGAGCAACCTTCTACAAATAATAAATAAGTATTGACCATATATCCAAATATCGTGATTTTTTTTTCTAAAAGAGTCACCATCTACAGATAATAAATAAGTATATTGACCAAATATTGTATTTTTTTTTTCTAAAAGCAATTATATCTTATTAGTTTCATCTTCTCAATTTAATTATCTATATATATGCCTCAATATTTCAAGCCTCAAACCGCATTACTTCTCAACTATTATTCTTGAGTTTTCTTTACTTTAAGAGTATCCGAAAACATGATTGTTGAGAAGAAGAAAAGATCAATTTTACGTAATGTTAGCATAAAAATTGAATCTTCTAAAGGTGAAGCTTACTGTTACACCATTTATAAACCACATGCGGTTAATACAAATCCTACACAAGAACCAATTAATGACCGTCTTAACCGTAAATACAAGGAGATGCTACGTGGATGGCTAGCTGAAAAGAGACAATGTGAAATGAAGTATTTGACATGGTAAATACAATTTTTTATGATGTATTTATTCTTTGAGCCAGGATTAAGAGTTTGGGGGTTGTAAATTTCCTTTAGAACCGTCAGTCAATTTTGTTAGGGGTTCACAAATTAATATACAAATATATTTAATTATTTTTCTAGTACAAATACAGGATCTACAAAAAGTTAATGGGTTCGTCCGAACCCACGAACCCCCACTAGCTCCGCCTCTGCATGTATGCCATTTTCTTTTCTTTATACCATGCTTCCAAATTGGGATTTATTGATCACTACCAATATCCTGAATCCTCCGCTTAATTATATTATCGCTTATTTTATCTTATCTTATTCCTCGAAAAACAAGAATCAGAACATTTGTTTTGTGTGTGTAGGCAATAATTAAACTTTATTTTCTTATTCAAACTGGACTACTAAATTACAACAATACTATCACATTCAAACTTTTTGGATTTTATATTGTATATTTTTCTTTAGTTGTTTAAAATTTTATATATAACTAGTTTTTACCCTAATTAAGGACCAATGAATCTCTAACCAATGATATATCAAGAAAATGAGAGTTAGTAATACAATTACTTTGTAATGTGTGTAGTTTAATATTGTACTTTCAAAAATCATTAGTTCTTAACAAAAATCTCGTTAGATTGTAGTATTACTATCATAAGAGCAAACAATATCATCCTATCCATATGACACTAACTTTTATTTTCATGTTAAGACACACAAACATTTACATTATTCTAATTAAATTTTTCTTATTAATCTAAAGGTTGGGGTTATTAAAAAACACTCCATGAAAAGAAAGGCAGAACGTTCCATATTGAAAAGGAAGTCTGCAACAAGGAAATAAAAAAGCAACAACTATTCCAAGAGGGAGGTAAAAAAGTTTCTCGGTGAAGCAATGAACAACCTCATGAATAGGGATATCAAACACAAAAACAAGGTAAGTTAATGCTACGCTAGCTATTAGACAACAATTTTGTTTTATAAAAAAACCACTATAGAAAATATAGGAATTAGAAGTTGATAAAATCTCATCATTAGATTAAAAAAAGTTATCTATAACACCCCAAAATTTTTTGAGCTAAGACTCGAACCATTCTTCGTTTGTGAATAAGATTTTACCAAGAAATTTTAAATTTTCTTAGGTGTTAAGGTCACTAGATGTAGCACCTCGAGATCCAAAAATAAATAAAGAGAAATTCATTCAAGTCATCCATAAGTTTTTTTGAGGTTTGGGTCAACTTCAAACGACCATAACTCTTAGCACATTATGAGTTAGGTGCCCCATAAGGAATAAAATCTAAAATCTTTGAGTCCTCTTTCCAACGCTGCCAAGTTTGCTAAAATCCGAGTTTGGATGAGGGA